GTGACATATGACAATAGCCGGCAGTTTTTAATTCACCAACCCAATAAATAGGGAAAACTAATAGGTTATCATTAGATTTCAGCTTGTTGAAAAGAAAATTGAATTCTGAATCTGTAAAGATGAAGATTTTGAATCTTTAAACAAAAAAACTAATTCTCTAAAGAAAATCTGAAGAGAAACATCAGATTTTGGGTTGAAAGTTGAACATGAGTCGAGTTTGCGCAATTCTTTACAGTTAATAATTAATTTACAGTGAATCCAGTAGCTTTTCGTAGCAAAATATGCACTAGTTCAAGTTCCACTTGAAAAATTTAGCCTACTATGACTTAAGAGCCTTAGATCAACAACGCTGGTGTCGGTGATGCTGATCGTGCCGGAAAAATCCCAGGGTTTTTCACCCAGGACATGGACAGCTACGACTACATTATGAAGATCAACTCTAGATGGTTTGTTTGGCAAATTTGTGCTAAATTAAAAAAATCCATTAGCTTTATAAGTTGAATTTTTCAGCATTGTTTACCTCACTCGTAAAGCCGCTCCCCATCTCGAAAAATCAAAGGGCGCCATTGTGAATGTCGGCTCAATTGCTTATTCAGAAGTTCAAGGAGTAAGTCTTATTAAAATAGGATTTTCATCGTGATTTTATCACTTTCAAAGGAATTTGACTTTAATTTTTTGATTCATATCATATTCGCTGCAAAATTACTGTAGCTATTTACATTTTCAGTGCTCATTCACCTTCTACGCAATGTCCAAGGCTTGTGTCGATGCTTTGACGAGGAGTCTTGGATTGGAGATGATTCGACGAGGAGTTAGAGTCAATGCAATCAAGTTAGTATTTTTAAAATCTTTAAATCAATTTTTTCAAATCTAGTATTTTCAAATCAATTTATCTAGATTTTTAGGCAAAATTTCTAAGAATTAATCCACTTACTGAAACTTTTAGGCCTGGTGCCGTCAACACAACTCTCATGCAGAAGCAAGGTATCGACCAAGGAACAGCTGAGAAGGTAAGCACAAAGAACTCCTGCCACGGGAAGGTCGCCAACTTAAGGTGGAATTTCAAAACGAGATCTTTCGTATCTTGGCCAATTTTTAGTTTTTCTTAAAGGACTTGCAAACGCAAGGAATTTGGCTTGAAAATTTGGACTTTCTGATTCCTGTCATATTCTCTTTCTTCAAACGATCTACAGGGTACGGCAGGATTATTATAAGCAATTTTTTTAAAGATATTGGGTTGGTGGAAAAGTCCTTTCCGATTTTTTGGGAGAGTACCTTAAATTTGTCCAGTTTAGACGTTTTATAGCTCATCCTAAAGCTGAATTCAAGACGGATCGATTGGTAAAAACCGTTTTGAGATATCTCTTTTCTAAAAGTTTTTACAGCTATTTTAGTAAAGGGCAGCAGAGCCAAAAAATGGCTGTTTTCACGTTTCGTTAATTTTCCGTGCAGAAACCTAGGCTAAAAACATGTGTTTCGTGATCAGCGTCAAAAATAACCCCTAGACACGCATTTTCAGAATCTTAGCCAAAAATTTTTGGCGGAAAGGCTATTGATCTTAGGGTCGCTGGTTCGACTTCCACCGGTGACAATATTTTTCAAAAATTTTTTGCTAAGATTCTGAAAATGCGTTTTAGAGAAGACATTACTCACGAGAAATACACTCTATCTGTAATTGCGTACAGATGAGCTATGCATTTGTTTACATGACACGAAATGAACTCGATTTTGCGTTACGCTGTGCTGGAGATCCGAATTCAGAACTCCGTTCGGGTGAAAGTATAACTATTCTATTTTATTTTAAAAGTTAAAATCAAATAGAATAGATAGTTTAGCTAGTTAAAATAGTTAGATAAAGTAGATACAAATCTCAAATCCGGGATCCGAGCCCTTGATTCAGTAAGTCCGGTTTCGTTGCCAACCTGAATCCCGGAATCGCGAGGCATTACTCGCGAGGAGCACACTTTATCGAAAAGTTTGGGCGTCAGTTTGGGCGTCATCATTTTTCCTCCCTGGTTCGATACCGCTCACGGACAAACTTTTTTGTGATTTTATAAAATAATTAAAAACTATTTTCAAGACCGGCAAGGCTTTGGTTTGGTTTGCAACAGTCTCGTGAGTTACTCATGAGGAACACACTCTAGCAATAATCCTACCGCACCCTGTACTTTATTAGCAAAATCAGGTTTACATATTCAAGTTCCAGAAGTGAATAAAACCAAAATCAAAACCAATTTTGAATGCAACTACAAGCAAAAACCTAAACCATATGCATATGATATGATTTGAATTTTCTATATCATTTAGGAAAAGCTAAAAACGGATTCGGAAAGCCCATGTAAAACTGAAAAAAATAGAATTGGTCTCGTTTTAAAATTTCACCTTAAAAACAACCTTTCGTAGTGAGAGTAATCTGATAATCAGTCTTTCAAATTAATCAGTCAAAATACAAAACTTTTTTAGATTAATGACGGTCTTGCAAGTCGCTTTGAAATGATTCCAGCTGGCTTTATTGCTGAACCTGAAGATGTCGCTCGGCTCGCCGCTTTCCTCTGCGATCAGTGAGTTGAATAGGCATACAGTTTCTTAAAGTCCTAATTTCTGTAAAGTATTAGGTTGGCAAGTTATAAACGATCGTTTTTGGGTAATGTGTTTTCTGAAAAAACGGCTTATCCAATCAAAAAACGGTTTGCTTGATTCAAAAGCCCTATCCTTAATCTACAAAATGGCTTTTTTGAATGTTTTATTTTGAATTTTGAAAAATGTTTTATTTTAGAATTTTTTCAGGCATTTTAATGTAAGAGTTCAAAATCCTGGCTTCTAGCATTCATGAACTATTATATTTTTGAGCTATTTTTGAGTGATTGCTTTTTTTCTAAAATAAAACGCTTCATCGATTACATAGTTTCCCAAAATTTCAGAACAATCCAATCTTCGGAAGGTTGATTTTCAAATTAGCCTCAAAATGTACTTTTGTGCTAATTGAATCCATTTTCGTTTGAATTTAAGCAAGATTAAAAAAAGATTAAAAGAAAGAGAACGGTTCGATCGATTGGATTGTTTGGAAATTTTGGGAAACGATGTAATCGATGAAGCGTTTTATTTTAAAAGTATGCAATCACTCAAAAATAGCTCAAAAATATAATAGCTTTAGACCAATCGATAGAGAAAGACTTGGCGCGTCTAACTAAGAATATTTAAATTGCAAAAACATCTTTCAAATCTTTCAGCACTCAATCTCGTTACATGATCGGTCAATGCATTCGATTGGATGGGGGCACATCTTTGGTGAGCCCGTTGATGCTCGGCGATTTCGTCAAGGATGACATCCCTGTTGGAGAAAAATAGAATATTGCAATTTGTATGTAATGAATAAATTTTTCTTTTTTATTAACCTAACAAAAATCAATGGTAATCGTCGGTAATCGTTTCCTTTGATTCAACATCTTTCGCTCGACATACGTGAAAGATAATGATGAGAGAATCGTTCCAACGGCTAAAATTGCGAGTTGGATGTAGAGAGAAGCGACACTGCCATAGAACATGCAAATTGCGGTGAAGAGAGCCTAAAATAAAGTAAATACAAGGCTAAATACAAGGGTAAATACAAGGCTTCAGTAAACGTATCACTCAAAAATTCGTTAGTTACATGGTAAGTCTTTTGTACGAAAAAGTTCTTGTCTTAACAAAGTTCTTGTCTTAGTTTATGTGTGTTTTGATCAAGACTTTCAGTCTTTTGCTTCTTATTTTGCAAACTTTTGTTAATCAAATACAATTTACCCGTTATTTACTGCAATCCCACGGGTTACTTGCCCGAGATCAATAACGGAGCTAAAATGCGAAAGGTTTTGAGCAAAATGGTCCAAGATTTGTCCGAAATGGGATGAAAGTTCTTTCGGCCACCCATTGCCTGACGATCAGAGTGCCGTCCCTTCCCGACGGTTATTTTGCACAGGAAGTGCCCTTAGATGATAATAGCTTTTTATTGTGCAAACAGGATTGTACCTATTAATTTTTAATTTCCTACAAAATGATACATGAACCATGAAAATCGGTACACTGGGGGCTGAGATTTAGGGTCAGATTACGCAATACTACTGTTTCCGTTGCCCGTAGAAAAAATCTCACCTTAATGGGGAACTTCACGACCCCGAAAACCTATAAAGGTGTTGTTTTTGAAGCTCTAGCTTCTCCCGTTTTCGAGATGAACGTTGCGTACAGACGGACGGACAGACAGCCCTCAATTGCCCGAAAACCCAATGGGTTACTTGTACGAATTCAATAACGGAGCTAAAATGACTGACTTCACAAAATGGATCAAGATTTGTCCGAAATGGGATGAAAGTAACAATTTAACTGATTTAACTTGTATTACTGACTTAACAGTGAGGAAATGAATACATTTAAGCGATACAGATCACAAGTTTGAGGAAGAAAAAGGTATTCAGTTGTCACAAAACAACATTTGACCGAAATTAGCACTTTTCCGTAGTCGTTTCAGGTTTTCTTAGTTTGAAACAACTTTTAAATGTAAATCTGTAAACCTCAATGTAAATATTAAGCAAATATTTGCTGTGCTAAATATTTAGCACATCTTGTTCGTTTTTGTTATCGTATTTTCTCTAATAGTAGTGCACCCAGAGCGTCGCCTAAATTCCTCGAAATCTCGAGAACCGCTGATCAGAACCTATCGATGTGGGGTCGGAAAATGTAGCTGACGAGGAGATCTAGTGGGGGATTAGAGTGTTGAGCTTCTGCAAAAGCTTGGAAACCGTAAAATAGTCACCAACTCGGCTCAGTTGGGTGCACTACTATTAGAGAAAATACGATAGTCATTTTGTTTTGCAAGTAAACATGGCCATGATTTTCCTAACTTACATGCCAAAATTTGCTCAAAGCAAATGCTGGTCCTGTTCGTCCAACATAACGCACAGAGATCAAAGCATAAATCTGAGTATTCACACAACAATCATTGAAACCAAGCATGAAGCCGCAAATTAAACCAATAACAACGCTAAAACAGCAGGAATATTTGGATATCTTCTAGAGCAAGATTTCAATTGTTAAATAAGTAGAAATTTGTTTCAATAGAGTTACCTTGGATTTGACAGTAATGGCTTGTCATATGTCTTTTCATATGAGGCAATGGCTGGCAAGTTGACAGTGATCAAGCCATAACAGATCAAGCTCACAACTGTTCCCACCCACATCGAATACCATCGACCCGCTCGATCCGACCATTTGCCGATCGAGGCAAAGAGGAGAGCTGCTGAAATATTGGCTTTAGAATTGATCTTCCTAAATGCTTACGAGGGAAAGGCATCGAGTCAAGCATTTTGGACTCCTTAAGAAAACGTCAGACACTTTCTCAACAACTGCTTCGATGGTGTAGTGGATAGTCTACTAGACTAAGAACCTATTGCACTTTTTGCCCCAAGTTTGAGTCCCACTCTCGTCAAACTTCTTTCCCCTTTTAAAAAACCGTTTCCCTATTTGTCAAGAAACACAAAAATTAAAGCTTTTTCGAGTCCCACTCTCGTAGAACTTTTAAACCTCAACGACAAATCAATAACAGAGTTGAATTTTATACATCGCTTTCTGTAGCTTTCAGAAATGTGGAATATTAAACAAATATTAAATTTTGCAATGCTTACCTACTGATTCTGATACTTTAGAATTCTCTTATTATTCAACTCTTCAACAAACTGCTTCGATGGTGTAGTGGATAATCTGTTAGACTAACGGAACCTATTCCACTTTTTCCCCAAGTTCGAGTCCCACTCTCGCCAAACCTTCTTTTCTTTTCTAAAAAAAACTATTTCCCTACGTCTTGGTATTGAATTATTGACTCGAGTTTTATACCCACTTTTTATAACTTCAAAAAATAATTTACAAAAGCTAAAACTTTCTAAAGTATCAGAATCAGTAGATAAGTATTGAAAATTTAATATTTGTTTAATATTCCACATTTCTGAAAGCTACAGAAAGCTATGTATAAAATTCAACTCTATTATTGATTTGTCGTTGAGGTTTAAAAGTTTTACGAGAGCGGGACTCGAAAAAGCTTTAATTTTAGTATTTCTTGACAAATAGGGAAACGGTTTTTTAAAAAGGGAAAGAAGTTCGACGAGAGTGAGACTCGAACTTGGGGTAAAAAGTGTAATAGGTTCGGTAGTCTAGCAGCTTATTCATTAGACTACTGAAGCAGTTGTTTGGGAAGCGTTGGCAGCCTCATAAGGAACTCAAAATTCAAGTTGATTTTCTATAACTCGAGTTTTATACCCTATTTTCTGTAATTTCAACAAACTTCAACAAACAAACAACAATTTAGTTTTTGCAGAATTGTTTGCAGAACTGAAAGAAGAGTTCTGCAAAAACTAAAGACGGATTCGAGATCCCCATGGCCAATTCTATTGGGTTGGTGAATTAAAAACTGCCGGCTATTGTCATATGTCATAGTTTGAGCACTTTCTTCAAAAGAAACCCATTTTAGTGTCAATGGAAAAGTTGTAGAGAATCAAAAATCAAGCTTATATCCAAATTTTCAGAACGATTCAAAAACTGGTTTTCAAGAAATGCAGAATTTACGAATGCCAAATTTATGAAAACAAAACTTGAATTTTAAGCGAAACTACTAAGTGAATCTTTTTGGAAACTTGGCTATAAGCGTATTTTTTGATTCTCGACAACTTTTCTATTGACACCAAAATGGTTTTCTTTTGAAGAAAGTGCTCAAACTGGGACATCTCCAGTCCTCCATTTTTGAGTCTCACACACAAACCAAAATCTTACTACGAAAGAGGAATCCGCAAGTTGCCTGTAAAATGAGCAGAAGTCGTCAATAATAATGGAAATTACTTGGAATGAATTTATGGTTTTATATTGAATAAATTTTAGTTCAAAGTCCCGCAGTTTTCACTTCACCAACCCAATAGATCAAATATCAAAGATAAATCTGAAATCTATTTCGCGGGACTCGCAGATAAAGAAAACAAGAATAGGTCCTTCAAGTCAAAGATCGTTCTCCTCCACGACAACGCGCGCTCTCATGTTGCTTAGATGGACTTGTTATCTCATGTTAAGATGGACTTGTTCTCGAGTCAAAAACGCCTTTTCCATGCATTTTTGGGATTTCAAACTTAGATTTGAATAGTAAACCTCACCGCACAATTGCCCTGTTCCAGTGGCCATCACATTCAATCCCATCAATTGATTCGTATTTATTGAAAAATTTTTGGTAAACGACAGTGCTGTTGGGTAGACTCCACTAGTGAACGAGTTCTCGATTCCGGTGAAAGCCGATGGAATAGCGATCCACCAATGGTCTTGAGTTTGGAGCATTTTGATCACCTTTGCTAAAAAAATGCAAAGATCAATAGCTAAGCTCGAACATACACATTTCTTGTAGATGATTTGCTTTCGCAGCATTTTTCCCTGGCGTCTTTTGTCGTAAGAGACCCAATGTGATCACTCCAACAAAACAAACTGATGCAAAAGTCCCATACAATACTCTCGTTGTTCCCATACTGATATTCTTGTCGGGTTTTGAGCCAAATACAGCAATTAGAAAGCCACCACCGAAAATCATACTAAAAGAGAGAAAATGAAGTGTGTTCTTGGTCATGTTTGATTAAATCTTTAACTTTCTATAGTATAAAGTTTCCTATCTTAGAAATGAACACTTTTTAAATAATCTGCGAAAACTAGAGCTGTAAAAGCTTTTATAATTGTTAACTTTTGTTTCTTTTGTTGACTTTTTCTTTCAAAAACTCATTGACACTTCAATATTTGTTCTGAATTTCCTGGCCTAACCAAAGCTCAGCTATAGTACTGGACAATGAAATATCATATTTGAAAAACGATCGTCACTTTCGTCACTGAAATGCCTCAAAAAATACGGTATTTCTAAATATTAATATTACCATTGTGTAGCCCTTGAAAAGAGCTTTCAGAAAATGTATAACACTAATAGTTTATGCTCAAAGACAAGGGAGTTACAGACGCGCGAAAGTGGCGATCGTTTTTCAAATATGATATTTCATTGTCCAGCACTGTATGTAACCATTACGACAAATGTTTTAGATTTATGGGTCACTATGCTTTGTGCCAATTTTCATGATCCCATCGATCATTTGTCATCTTTATGTTACGTGGCATTTACCGGAAACAAAGGTTAGTTTAGTCTGCTTTTGGAACTTGTCAATGGATAATTAGGAACTGAATAGGAACTAAATAGGAACTATAAAGTAACCAAATAGGACCTATAGAGGAACTAAATAGGACCTAAATAGGAACTAAATAGGAACTAAATAGGAACTAAATAGGAACTAAATAGGACCTAGGCAATCCTTTTCCAGACTCCCTGATTGTAAACTTACAGACGCGCGAAAGTGACGATCTTTTTTCAAATAGGATATTTCATTGTCCAGTAGTGTAGCTCAGTCAACAGAGCGCAAGACTCATAATCTAACTATCGCAGGTTCGAGCCGCGCATTGATCTTTTGCTTTTTCAGAATTTCACTTTCAACCTGCTCATATACAGCATCCACATCATGTTGCTATTTCTGGAAATCGTCCGCTCATTACTATTTGATGCCAAATATTGGCCTACAGAAGTCCAAAGTACTAAAATTACTGAAATTCTGTATCGAATGCAAATTCTCACACCCAGCCATGAGTCCTTCGAAAGCAGCCGAGGCGTAGAGGTAATACGAATTGAGGAATAGAAAACCGACCATGTAGAGGACATATGGAAGGCTTCCAAAAATGAAAGCTAATCTTAAGCCTAAAATTTGCTTTGAAAAGTTCAACAATCTTGACAATACCAATAAATGAGATAACTGGCGGAGCCAAGAGATTGCCAAAAAGAAACATCCCATAGACGATCGTTTGACTGAATTAGTTTGAAAAAGGAATTCAAATAAATCAAACCTGTAATATCCAGCGTGTTTACTGATTGATGGATCGCTGTCATGTCGATTTTCCAAAACAGTTTCCACGATGAATGCTTGGGAAATGAAAGCAAAGAAAACGAGCATCATTCCAAGACCCAATTGCAGAATATTCAACGTTTCTTTCTTTGGGAATTTCATGGTGAATCTGAAAATTAAGTTTTGAAGACTGTTAGCAAAAAGAAACGAGAAAGAAGCAGAAGTGGCGGAAAAATTGGTTTGAAACAAGCCCCGTCCTTTTACCATTGGACAATCTAACTTTGAACTCAAATATCTTTGTGTTGGGTTGTCGAATTTAGATATTCTCGGTTTCATTAGATAGGCCAAATCTTTCACTGACGATTGGTATAAAAACTATTTCAATTGGACAACTCAACACCAAGATATTTCAGCTCAAAGTTAGATTGCCAATGGCAAAGGGGCGGGGAGACTTTTAGACTTCAGCAACGTTTTTTGAAATGTTCACACACGCAATGGAGACTGAGATTTACTTTCCCGTATTGGTTGGAAAATTTTATGGGATCCTGTACACGGTTTTTGATTGGAGCACCCTGGCGAATATGGTCAGTTGCAAAAGGCCTTTTTTCCATGGCTATCGGACATTTGCTACAAGCTCCGCCCCTTTTTGCCATTGGCAATCCAACTTTGAGCTCAAATATCTTGGTGTTGGGCTGTTCAATTCAAATAGTTTTAGCACCAATCGATAGAGAAAGATTTGACCTATCTAATGAAACCAAGAATATCTAAATTCGACAGCCCAACACAAAGATATTTGAGTTCAAAGTTGGATTGTCCCTGGCAAAGGCAATTTGGATTATCCCCGTCATTTTTGACCCTTTTACGCGCCCCGCCCCTTTTTGCCATTGACAATCCAAGTTTGAGCTCAAATTTCTTGGTGTTCGGCTGTCCAATTTAAATAGTTTTTGTACCAATCGACAGAGAAAGACTTGGCGCATCTAATGACATGAAGAATATTAAAATTGGACAGCTGAACACCAAGGTATTTGAGCTCAAAGTTAGATCGTCAAGGGTAAAAAGGGCGGGCGTATACAAAAGGTCCCACAGTGGCCCCGTTCCTTTGCCATTGGCAATCCAACTTTGAGCACAAATATCTTGGGGTTGGACTGCTCAATTCAAATAGTTTTTTGTACCAATCGATAGAGAAAGACTCTAACGACATTAAGAATATTAAATATAATGATATAATGATGCATATAATGATGCCAAGGATATTTAAATTGGACAGCTCAACACAAAGATATTTGAGTTAAAAGTTGGATTGCCAATGGTAAAGGGGCGGCGCGCGTGTCAGATATCCCAAAATTGGAAAAACTTGCTTTGGTTTGATTTTAGCTTGAAAAATTTAGATCTCGGTCCAGAGTTGGGAAAAGAGTTGAAGTTTTGATCACTTGAGAGCAGTTAGAGCTATTAGTTCAAAGTACTACTTGCATCAAGTCAGCAAACGAGATTAATTATACCAGAAGAAGTGCTTTTTAATCCTTGAGCACAAAGAATAAAGAAGAAGAAGTCAATTTAATCCATTCAAAGAAGCAAATTTTGGTTTTAAGCATACTTTTTCAGTTAAACTCTAAAATTTCCAGAAAAATGTTTTGAATTTTAAAAGAATCGTTGATATTTAATTTGAATAAACATTTGAAATACATTTTTTGAATAAAGAACCCAAAGATAGTAAGAGAAAACACAGGAAACAAAGGACAAATGGTCAAAAAAAAAAGAGTGTTATCTCTTTGCCTCAAAAATTTCATTCTTCCTTTGTGAACGTGGAATTTTGCCACCAAAATTCCTTCGAGGGTTTTATTGGTCTGGATTGAATGGATTCGACTTTAATGGGTTCAAATGCATATTGCAGAAATGATTTACCGTATTCTCCCTAATAGAGGTGCACTCTCTAATAGTATTGCGGTCCAGGAGGGGGTTGAAAAAATAGTAGTGCATTCCCAAAAATTTGAATTTCTGTTTGCTTCTTTTTCATCTAAACCTTTTTGTCTTTATGTTTATGTGACATTCTAAAGCTATTCAAGCAAGCAAAAATGAGCCTTTTTTATTCATTTATTCACTATTCTTCACATAAAAAAGTTAGCAAAAAATCTAAAATTGTTGTGCAAAGTGCAAAAACATCTTTTTATTGTTTGTCAAGACACAAATTGTCAACTCGCCGGCCCACAACTGTATGTCAAAAAGAGCCAAAGGAGTACGTGAAAGAATTGCAAGAATTTTTGGAACAAATCTTACAGTCATGGACAAAAGTCTTTACCCCTACCGAGGTCAGCTTTTAAAACGCAAAATTTTTCAACTTTTTAACAAGTTTTAAAAATTGTTTTCAAAGTATTTTGTAGCATTTTTACTCTAGTTTTTATATCCCATAACCAAAAGAAACAACGATTTATTTTAGGCAACAAAGAACGACGTTAACAAAAAAAACCCTCAAAACAGGTGGACAAAAGTCTTTACCCCTTTTCAACTTTTTATTTTCTTGCTGTTGTTTCGTTATTTTTCACATAACAATGCTTTATTATTTTTTAATTCTAGTGATGCCTGGAGCCTATCTGACCACTCCCGACAAAGAAAAGATTGTGGAAGCAAGGAAACGAGGCGACAAAGTAAAGGATGTTGCGAGCGTATTCAAATGCAGCCCCGAAACGGTGAAAAAGCTTTGCAAGAAAGAAAAACGACTGGAATTCTTCACCGAGCATTCAAAACAGGTCGTTCACCCGTCACAACACCAAGAGAAGACAAGGTTCTAATTTTGGCCCACAAAAGGATCCAAATCTTAATGCTTCCGATGGAGTCAGATTAATCAAGCATCAATTTAACAAGGACATCAATCGAAAGACAGTAAGCAGACGTTTGATTCATGCAGGATTGATGACTAGAAGACCTGCCAAGAAGCCCCTGTGGTCGCCAAACACCGGAAGATTCGACTCGACTTTGCCGAGAAGTATGAAAGTTGGACAAGCAACGACTGGGCCAATGTCATCTTCACCGATGAATCGAAGTCAACTTTTTCAATCCCGACGGCAATCTTTGATCCGGAGACCTGTCGGACAACGATATAGCACCAAATACCTTCGTGCGACAGTCAAATTTGGTGGCGGATCAATCATGTTGTGGGGTAAGAAACTTTTCTTTATGCCTATTGACTTTTTTTTCAGGAGCGATACTAGAAGTTCACCAGGTCCGCTCGTTCTTCTCAATTCAACTTTGGACGCTCAACGATACAAGGTGATTTTGGAGAACGATCTTCTTCCATTTGCGACCACAAAATTGGACAAGGATGGTTGCTGTACCAGGACAACGCTCCATGCCACAAGTCGCAACTGCTAATGGGACGAGTTGTTCGCCTTGCCAACGGTGGTAGAGCTCGTCTACCCGGATGGTTCCGATCGAATGGAGTTCAGCTCGTATCTGCCCCCCCTACACTCCGGATTTGAACGTTATCGAACATTTGTGGGCGTTTTTGAAGCAGAAATTGAAGGGAAAACGCTTCAATACCAAGATTGAGCTATGGTACTTCATTCGACACGTCTGGACAAAGATCGGTCCTCAAATTTTACAGGATTTGGTCGACTTGATGCCGAGAAGGATTCAAGCAATAATTTCATCAAAAGGAGGCCCTACCAAATATTAAAATACTCGGTTTTTTCTCACTTTTTGTTCGAGGGGTAAAAACTTTTGTCCACCTGTTTTGAGGGTTTTTTTTTGTTAACGTCGTTCTTTGTTGCCTAAAATAAATCGTTGTTTCTTTTGGTTATGGGATATAAAAACTAGAGTAAAAATGCTACAAAATACTTTGAAAACAATTCTTAAAACTTGTTAAAAAGTTGAAAAATTTTGCGTTTTAAAAGCTGACCTCAGTAGGGGTAAAGACTTTTGTCCATGACTGTATATCTGTCTTACTTTGGTAAATGATAAAACTCTTTAATAGTACTGCACTCTCTAATAGTATTGCGGTCCAGGAGGGGGTTCAAAAAATAGTAGTGCCCACTACTATTAGAGAGAATGCGGTATTCCAACAAATACTAAACAAAATTGATTTAAAATTTCATTATCAATGAATGAAAAGTGAAATAAAAGACAAAAAACGTGTTGATTAATGATTTTATTTTTCTTCTTTTTGCTCGTTTTCATTTCATTTCATTGAAATGATTCATTTTCTCTCGTTTTTTTGGCAAATCTTTTAAAAATGTCAAATTTTTGAATTTTTGAAAGGTTTTTTGAATTTTAGAGATTGCAGATTTTAAGATTCGTTTAAACGTGACTCTTTACACAAAATTCGTTACTATTTTCAAACAATTCTTGTTTAAAACATAGATTATAGGCTGTAGAGTGAAAAAATGCGATTAATTCGCTTTTAAAACACAAAATAAAGCTTGAATTTTAGGATTTCTTAAAGAAATTCCTGTTCTTTTTGAAATTATTTATTGAATTTTTGATTGTTTTAGTTTTTTATGAATCATTTCTTTCCGAAAACTGCACAAAGATTGTGAAATCTGACGCTAGATATATATATATATATATAATATACCGTAAATACTGTAATAGTACCCCACCCACCTCGTACAGTCGCGTAGTCGCAAAAGTTTTTTAGTATTTCATTTTTTTCAAAGCGTCCGTACTTTCAAAGAATGCGTCTTTGGTATCAAAAAATAGCTGAAATTCAGGGCTATTTTTTTGATATCTAAACGCGCATTGTAGCATAAACCAGTGTCGAGAAAAACTCGTTCAAAGCTAGACTACACAACACTCCGCACCATCATTATGGGGGTGGGGTACTATTACAGTATTTACGGTACTTAGAAAGAAATAAAGTGCGAAAGCGACATGAAAAATGTACCAGGTAAAAGATCATAAAGTCACTTAAAATGCAACGAAGCAGCCCTTTTAAAATCAGACACGGTGAAGATCAAACGAAACTGGTCGGGAAGGGCATTAGGCTTAGGCTCAATCAAACAATCAATCTTTTTAATAGTTTAGATAGAAATTCTGTTGGTGGCGGCATTATTTTTTAAAAACGTTTGGAAAAGAATTGTAAAAACTTGGACCAACCTAATCGACTTTTGTATCGAGTAGAGGCGAGCTGGTAAAGGATTCCATGGAAACAAAATTCGAAAAAATTATAAAGACTTATGCACCAACCTAATAGTATCTTTATAAGGCAGTTTTTACAATCTTTAGTTCCTGTTTACTCATCAAAATCCATCTTCTAGAGTTGGGTCTCTAAAGAAGTTCGTGTAAAGTCAAGATCTTAAGCTGGTTCTTCAAAATAAACGATACTTTTGCGTTATATTCCCACAAAAAGAACCCATGCGTCATTTGCATTTTATTACCACCAAATTTACCTTTAAAAATTCGCCTGCATCATCCGCATTACGTCCCCACAAAGTTTAAGTTTTAAAAAAGAACACAAAACAAAAATTAAAGCCTGACTTTTAAAGGCCATTGCAGCACAATTTGATTGAAAATCCATTGAAATAAATTGTCATTTTCCACCTCGATCCTGATCATTAACCATTTAACATTAACTTCGCAAAGGAACTCAACAAATAATCATTTAATTTTTGTATGCAAATTTTGCGGGGTTATAATGCAGAGGTTTTTTTCTGTTTTTGAAATGCAAATTTTGTGCGGCTTTAACGCAAATCTACCAAATCAACTTTATTCCCAATACGAGTTTTTATCTTGAGTTTGAACGTATTGTGGCTGTCCAGGGAGAATCGGTGTCCACGGAAGTTGGGCCAGATACTCACCGGAAAGCTGAGGATTGGTTGCTGGGATCGGATCAGGTGTTGGATCTGCTGCTTGGCCTGGGGCTGCGCTTCCACCGATTGAATGTGGTACAGGTATGGGAATGGCTCCCAATCCACCTCCGAAAATCTCGTTTTGGACGATAATCTCGATGGTTTTATGGCCACCATTGCCACCAGCTGAAATTTTTTTGAATGATTTTTGAGTTGAATCTCAAACCAGGATAAAGTCAGCATTTTTGCCTAGTAATTAGCGCAACTTGAGCCCGTGATCTACTTTGTAGACCTACCTCCAGCGTTCCCTCGTCCACCTCTCCCACCACCCGCTCCTCCATTGTTCCCAGCATTCCCCTTTCCACCTCCTACTTGTGGCGAATGCGTTCTTGCGGCGTTCCCTCCACCATGCTCATCAGAATCCGAAGAGCTATCTCTACTAGCTGTAAATTAATATAGACTGTAATAACCACAGTCATAATACCAGACTAACATTAGTGGACATAAACTGGGTCGAACTTCTCGATCTGTTAGCCAACTGAGTAAAGTTTTGCTCTTAAAGCTCTTAGCTCTTAAAAGGAGTGCATGCTCTATGGGAATCGAACCAGGGGATTGAACCAGGGGATCGAACCCCGGGATCGTTCGCTTTCCAAGCAAAAGCTCGACCAATGAGGCTATGAGCGCACAGGAGATACCTCCTTTCAAGAGGCTTTCAGCGACGGTGATCGTGAGTCTCTCTGGGATCCCCATACAACTTTAAGCTTGAAAACATTGATTAGGTTTTTACCATGTGGTTGAGGGTGACGGGTGACAGAACCATGCTCGTGACTGCTGCTATGGTTTTGTGGATGTGGCCGGTCTGGGCTCCAATTTTTCGGGAACTCAGCCGGACAACTGCCCAATCCTCGATGCATTCGCTTCTCAAGAATATCGCCCTCAAATGTTACCGAGTCCAAGGAACCGTAGCACTAAATTGAAAGAATATAAGTTAAACAATTAGAATCACTATCGATGAAATATTTACTCTAATCGCTCTCATGTTCGCCATATTCACATGCAATTTAGGAGCACCGCGTTGTTCGTAGACCGCACCGCCAAAAGCGCCATTATGACTTGGATAGGTGACTCGGATCGAGTTTTGACTCAAAACTCTAAATAATGCAATACTAAGCAATTATCAAGCCAATAAAACAAGTTATTAAATAGAAACTCACTCAAATCTTGCTTCAAAGTGAGCACCTCCAATGTAGGGAAGTCCGTCGTGGTGATCGCCTTTTTGCCATTCCTAGACAGAGACTCAACAATTTGAATATAAATAGAATAAAATAAAATAGAATTGACATTGACAGAAATAGAAATAGAAATAGAATTTTGTCAAGAATTTGAATCGAGGTAATAAGTTTGTAAAGTTTTGTAAAGCTTTGTTACTTTAGAATTTTTTCTGAACTCACCGACGCACAACAACCAGGCCTTGCACTGAAAACCGTTTTCCTTTCAAAGTTTCGAGAAACGACATGAATGAAAACATTGTTGAGAAAAGTTTGTTCAAAGTTGCAAGCCCAACTGAAAATTGGTTTACTAGACAAGATACGGTAGTTTTTCCGGGCATGGAACAAATGCTCACCTTTTCTTGCTGGAAAAGAACTTAGGAAAGGCCGTAAAGCTTCAAAAATGATTTCTTGAAAGGGAATCCTATGCGTAGATTCTGAATTTCAACAAATCAGACCTAGCTGACGTTAAATTTAGGCTAAAAGGCAAAAACTTCATGCTTTTTCGTAGTTTTTGCATTTTAGCCTAAATTTAACGTCAGCGAGGTCTGATTTGTTGAAATTCGGAATCTGCGTATACGATTCCCCTAAATGAAAACATTTTTGAAGCTCTACGGCTTTTCCTGAGGCTTTTTCCAGCAAAAGAAGGTACGCCTTTTGCCGGGTGGGCCAAAAAAGGTAGCATTTGTCCTACCTCCGTTTTTCCCTAAAATACACTTTTTAGAAAACGATTTTAAAGTCTATCTAAAAAGTGTTTCAGTATTTGTGTCTCAACAATGGTTTGGGTCAATTTTTCAATCTTAAAACTTTAACACATTCACGACGATGCGACTCACCGGTGGGCTGTACTAATGACGACTTTTTTTGGTGTCAACTCAAGCTTTTAAAGACTTTTATTCTTTCTTTCGCAGAAAGTTCTTAATAACTTTGTACTAGTTTTTAAGAGGAGATTCAAAGCTATCGAATGACAATAATAATTTAGTTTATCATTGAATTTACAACAAATTATTAGTAAAACAGTTAACGACTACGCGACTGTACGTGTAAAATACCGCCGTCGTGAATAGTCTAATAGTTTTAGTCAAGTCTAGTCACCGAATGTGTCAAATTCTTTACTAAAATATATGTCAAATTCAATTTAAAATAATGTTACTTGTTATTTTTAGTGGAACAGAACTTTTACCGTACCTATAAGGTCCATTCTGTATTTTTCCTTTCACATTGATGACATCACCGACTTTCAATGGCCTCTTAAAGCACATGGCAAAGTCTGAAACAACGATATACTATTAAAACTCAAAAATTACCGCGTCTATTGATTTGTGATAATGAATTTACAGATTGGCATTGAGTGACGAATAAAGTAGATATCAAAAGAAGAAGGATCATTTTAGAAAATGACGATTCAGGGACTTTGCCTCTAAATATAGACAGTTTTCAGTTTGACTTTCATCTCATATTCTCATCATAAATTCGAAGATGAAAGGGCTGAAACCGACAAAGAATCTCATCAATCATTGAAATCATAAAAAGATCAGATCGTGATGAACTTTTGGCGAGAGTTTCACATCAACAAAGATGTTTTTGTCATCAATTGTCTCCAATGATGCTCGATCGGTGACTTCAGCTTTTTAAATTCTCCAAAAAAATCGTTGAAATTGTTTCCATCATCAATTTCCACATTCAACTTGTTTTAAATTGGCGAGGAGCTTCTTGAATGCCGAAAGTTTCTTCTAATTAAGATTATTAAGATCATTAAGATCATTAAGATCATTAAGATCCAATATTTCTATCACGTCCAACTTGTGAAATGGTCCCCGCAGATGAAAGAGCTGAAACCGACAAAGATTCTCATTAATCATTGAAATCATAAAAAGATGAGATCGTGATAAACTTTTGGCAAGCGTTTGACAGCAACAAATATGTTGTTTGCTTTCATTTTAGAAGTGCATGGTGAAATTCGGGTCTGGTAAGCAAAGGCAAGGTTTAAGCCAATTCTTACTTGGCTTGGTATGACTTGACCTCATTTTCAACCAATATAAAGCTTTTTATTCAAGCCTTGATTTTTCAAATTCAAATTCAAAATTCTGCTTCAGTTCTGACTTCAGTTCTGACCTCGTTGACTCTAACTTCCTCTATACTCTAACTCTATACTCTAACTTCCTCTATACTTCCTCTATACTCTAACTTCCTCTCACAATTGGACCCAAAATCAACAGAGATGTTGAAATTGCGATGTTGAACGATGCAAAGGTTTTTACAAAGTTGATATTAGTTGATCAAGCTCAAACTGATCAAAGAAAACAGGAAAATTTTGAAATCTTGAAGAAACTCAATGATTGACTGCAAAGAAACTGAATAATTGGCTTATTTTGTTTGGTAAATTTTAAATAGTATGTATTTAGCCTGAGCCAGGCCTAGGTAGAAAACTGGCCAGGATCCAAACTTACATCCTCAATTAAATCCATCGCTAATGATGCAAATCCAATCAATGATATCAACAGCAATATCATTCTTGTGTGTTTTCTTGTTTCTAACCACTTTATCGATCTTCTCCATAGATTTTAGTGCTGAGAAATTCTGCTGTAAGCCTTTGATGTAAGATTTATTATTCTCTATTCGCTTTTCTCCAAAGCTTTGAGAAAAGATGAGAATTTGACACAAATTTACAAAGAAATTGATCTAGATGCGGTGATCACAGCGACACCGACTAATGTTAGAGCATAAGCGACACCGAGGAGAGTCAGATTTCGTTTGCCCTGAAATTTGGTAAAGCATTGATCAAGTCATCTTGATGTGAAGTCTTCTTCAATTGCCTTGTCAATTACTCAAGATTGAGTCTTCAATTGCCTTGTCAATTACTCAAAATTGAGACCAGGAACGGAGGCTAATAAGTTTCCGGAATCTATTTAAAAGTTTAAGCCAATTAAATCCTAGTTCCAGTTGATAGAATCAAATCTTTCCAAGCTCACTAGGCTCAAGTTCTTTGGGTTCAATTTTTGGCTGAAATCTAGCTGAATTTTCCTACAAATTCTCGTCAAATCATCGTGTCAAATTGATCAAATTAACGCTCGTTTTCACCAACTCAAACCAATTTCCATTCCGAGTTATTTTTAAATTAGAATTTACTTTAAAACTTTGATTATAGTATACTTTTAAGAATTTAATCGATAAATTTCCTACCGTAATCTCTTTGAAGTAGATCACACTCCATAAAGAGACGACAAATCCGGGCAACATCGCCACGATTGGATATGCTACTGTCTAAATTTTGATTTTAGCATTATTTTTAATTTTGTGATCTTATTTTATCTGCAGAAAGAATCAAACATTTCCTTTTTAACATATAAAATAACATTTTAACATTAAAATTAACAAATATTGCTTATTTTCTTAACCCTTACCGGAGACAATTTCTCGTTTGCCACCAAGAAAAAGCACATCGATGCGCCAAACATTAAACCACCATAGAAGGCTGGCAAAGCGATGTTTGGATCACATTCTGGTTTTCCTTTTCTAAAAGAAATCAAAAATACAATACAAAACAAAAAACAAACTTCACATAACAATAAACGATGAAGATCAAAAATGACGTGACGACAACTCCAATGAAAAACGAGAAAATGTAATCGAGGCCTGTTGATGGGTAGCCTTCGTCGACTTTACTCTGGAATTTCACTGATTAAGAAAATACCGGTTTTTCTCTAATAGTAGTGCACCATGAGCGTCGCCTAGATTGCTCGAAATCTCGAGAGCCGCTTATCAGAACCTATCGATGTGGGGTCGGAAAATGTAGCTGACGTTGAGATCTAGTGGGGGATTAGAGTGTTGAGCTTCTGCAAAAGCTTTTAAACCGTAAAATCGTCACCAACTCGGCTCGACGGGATGCACTACTATTAGAGAAAATACGGTATTCACCGATCTGGCCTATACACTTACTAGGGAAGGTCGCCAACTTAAGATGAAATTTCAAAACGAGACCTATCCTAGTTAGAGAGTTTTGTCGGATAGAGCTCTAATCAGCTAATGAAAAGCATTTACCATTGTTGCAACCGGGTATAAAATAGATCGTCGCGTTCTTCATGTAGTGCAAGTAAGCAGCGTTCTCAACTCCGCTGAACTTGACACAGCTGCCCATTGTGTAGAAATCTCGAGAACCGCTTATCAGAAGCTATCGATGTGGGGTCGGAAAATGTAGCTAACGTTGAGATCTAGTGGGAGATTAGAGTGTTGAGCTTCTGCAAAAGCTTGGAAACCGTAAAATTGTCACCAACTCGGCTCGCCGGGGTACGCTACTATTAGAGAAAATACGGCATATGAATTTGTTGAAATATTATTCATCGATTTTAGCTTAAAGTTTTGAAATTCCTGTAATCAAGCACCTGTAAGTAAGCAATTGGTGTATAAAATGAGCCGAACAATAAACCGATCACCACACAGCAGCCCATTGCACTGAAATGAACTGAAATGACGTCGAATGGAAAATTTGTGCTTTACTTGAATTTAGAATTTAAATGAAAAAGTAGTTTAGTTTTTCCTTTTGAAAATGAGGGTTTTGAAAAAGTATACTTTAAATAGTATACTATTATCTTTAGTTTGCAAATCTTTAGAGCTGCGTTTACATTTAAAATCTTTCAAACTTTCCTGAAACTCAAACATTGAACTCATATAATTCTCTGAAAACATTGGCTGAAACATGCACTGATTCTGGATCGACTTGTTGGTTTATTCGATTCTCAACTAGGTCTAGAGAGTCCTTGTATTCGATCCCCGATCAAAAGAGAGATATCTCGGTGTTGTTGCATGATTGCCCCTTTCTTCCCACTCTTCTATACCCCAAAGAACCAAAATACGGCTTTTCCTAGCCCATTCCCTTCTTTTATAGCTAATAGCTGGATATATGAAATAAAGTAAAGAAAGGAATAGCAAAGAAAGATTTCAAGAGGGGATTGAAGCCTCGGCATTAGATGTGAAAGATGTAAAAAGTCACGGAAAAAGTTTCCCAATAATCTTTAGAGCTAAGTTTACATTTAAAATCTTCCAAACTTTCCTCTTCTTCCAAACTTTGAAACTTAGACTTTGAACTCACATAGTTCTCTCAATGGATGAAACATGCACTGATTCTGGATCGACTTGTTTGTCTTGCTAAATTTCTTTTCATTTCTCAAGTCCAACATTTGATCAACTTTTTCGAGTTCTTTTGTTGAGCTGCTTGATGAGGTGAGGGTGCTCTTGATAAAGAGATAACAAGTGGCTCTAAAATCGGTTATACATTTATATTTATTTACAGAAATAATGCGGTACAAACATTGGACAAGCACAGCCTAAGCCCTAAATGTAGGAAAGAAACAACCGATATATAAAGTGCGTGAAAAGCTCTGTCCTCTCTCCAAAGATTGCCGCTTCTTTAGAAAAAATAAAATAAAATAGAGAAAAACGGACATTAAATTTAAAATTCTTGACTATTTTTACCCTAAGAATGCTTTTTCTTACAAAGATCTTTTGTTTCGAAAATTTATTTTTCGCTCGATTACTTGCGGAAATGATTTCCTTTTTTTGATTGCTAATTGATTTTAAAATAATAATGTATACCGGGGTTACTGGTGATTTATTTTGCACACACATAATCACAATTTACACGTTAAGACCTAGGGAATATTCTATGTGAGGATGGGACAATGTAGGAGATGATTTAGGAGGAGAAGGCTACCCGCTTTATATAAGCTTGCGCCTTAGACAAGTCTACCCATTTGGATCTCTGGTTATCCCAATCCCGAGGGAAAGGGGGCTAGGGGATCGGTCTTGGGAACCAGTTCACCATATGGGTGCGGTTACCTACAGCACTCGGTTCAGGGAATATATCCCTGACTCATCTGCTGGATTCGAACCAGAGACTAACCCAACGTTGCTTAACTTGAAATTGAAAATGTGAAAAGGTCGAGATAAAACCAACTTTTTAAAAATATTAGAAAAAACGAAACATTTTCCTTTAAAACTAGCCGTTTTACGGTCAGATTGGTTAAGAGTTTGCCATTCTTAAGCACCGTTAAAATTTTTGGCTGCGCTCAAAAGGGCCAGAACGGCAAAGAAGCCAGAAGGGTCAGTGGGCAATTCAACCAAAAAAAAGATTTTCAAAACAAAATCTTTTTATAAAGAAGCATTTCTAGGGTAAAAATGGTCAACATTTTCAAATTTAAAGTCAGTTTTTCTCTAATTTCCTTGATTCGAGCCGTACAAATGATTCTTGGAGAGGAGACAGAACTTTTCTGTATACGGGAAAAAAGAATCAATAATCTAGCTGGCAGGATTGAACTCTTGATCTTCTAACTAAGATACAGGACTCTTAGCCAGTCGGTCATGGCGGTTAGATTGAAATTTGGTACAAGTACTTGCTAGAAGAACTGGGCAAACGATGGTGGAATTAGCTTTAGGCTGGAATTTTTTTTTGCCCTGCACTTACCCAGTAATCAGTAATGCAACCCCAATATAGTTTAAGGTGAAGCTTTGCGGTAGTTGAGGGATCACTCCAAAGAAGCCGAATCTAAAAGACAATGGTTTAGTTAATTATGGCTCTAGTAAGTTTTGATCGTTTTACCTAGATGTGGCCCATCCCATCAAGCAACTCGTCGTGTTCCACAAAAGCATTCCTTGAGCCATACCCACTCGATTCATCAACATCACGCAAACAGAATTTCCTGGAAATTTGATGTTGAATTATTAATAGCAATTAATTGCCAAAGCAATTACCAAAGCACCACAAAAATGCTCCAATCATTGCTTCTGGGTAGATCACCGGTGGATACCATAAACCCACCGGGAAAACGATCAGAAAAGAGCCCAAACAGAGGAAGAGTTGAGCAAAGAAGCCTGGGAATTAATGGTTTGGATTTGAAAAGATTTAGGAAAGCTTTTTCTTCTGGAATTGAATTTATACGCTGAAACGCTGAAACGCTGACCAAAACGCTGAAAAAAACGCAAAGTTTAACGTTTTTACCATCTCCCATTGGGTGTCTCCTCATTGGGACGAAGACACTGCCAAAGCCGATCGCTGCCACGACACAGCAAAGGAGTCCGTCCCACATTTTTTTGTCAGATCTGTAGCGTAGATTGTAAAAATTTACAATGTTGCAAATACAAATAACTGCACAAGTCAAAAATCTATTTGAAAGAATCAAACTTGTCGGAAATTCGAAGAATCTGATTAGATATTAATTGATTAGACTGAAAGAACCAACGTTATCAAAATCAAATTTTTAAAGAAACAATTTGGGGGTGGGACAAATTCGACCTTTTTTTTGCGCATCTGGACATTTGCGCACCTTTTTTTGCTGGAGAAGGCCTTAGGAAAGGTCGTAGAGCTTCAAAAATATTTCCATATAAGGGAATCGTATGCGTAGATTCCGAATTTCGACAAATCAGACCTCGCTGACACGTCAAATTTCTCAAATTCAAATTAAAAACTGCGGAAAAGCGTTAAGTTGCGTAGTTTTTGCCTTTTAGCCCAAATTTGACGTGTCAGCGAGGTCTGATTTGTCAAAATTCTGAATCTACGCATACGATTCCCTTTTATGGAAATATTTTCGAAGCTCTACCGGCTTGCCTAAGGCCTTTTCCAGCAAAAAAAAGGGTGCGCAAATGTCCAGGTGCGCAAAAAAAAGGTCGCATTTGTCCCACTCCCAACAATTTGGTACAAATTTCAAGACTTGAAGTTCACAATAGTATAGATAAATTAAAAAATCGGAATTCCTCAGAATTTCTGGTGTCTCAGAATCTGTGATGTCAAAGTGAATCGTTTTTGCTCTAAATTTTTCATATTTTTTTTTCATAAATGTCTGTAATATCGATTGTGATATTTTATGAAAAATATGTGAAATTTTAGAGCACAAATGATGCACTAGAACACCACAGCATTAGCCACCAGAAATCCTGAGGAATTTCGGTTTGAAAACGTTTTCTTGGGCACCCTGTATTTCTAATAGTACAATATAAAATATACCAGAAGCTTCGTTGCTATTGCTAAAAAGCAAAAGAATTGGCAGTGAAAGGAGGCGAACCCGTGACCTCTACCTTCCGTTCGTTTGAGAGACGCGCGCTTTAACCACTCGGCCATGTAGATGGCACAGTGGGAGGGCGCTTGTCTCTAGCCCACACGACCCCGGTTCAACTCCTGCCCGTGTCGGCCCTTTGGGCTTTTTAAAAATTTAAAAACATGTTGCACAACTACAGGGAATTTTAAGCAAAACTAATTTCATAATAAACTAATAAAAATCACTTGAAACGGTCCACTGGGCGCGGAAGAGCAGTGCGCACAGACAGACACAGCTCTTTTTTAGTAGATTACCTAATAGGGTTCCCAAATAAAACTTATTCACATAAAACAACTGGGTTTTTGATTTTAACAGACTACTACCAAGCAAGAAATTAATTAAAATAAAATCTATTTCTTTATAAGGTTTTAAATTTATAAAAAATGTTTAAAAAGATCGAGCTGATCAACCAATGTTGAAGTTTCAGAAAAGAATCATAAAATACACGGTTCACTACATGTTACAGAGTGAAAATTGAGCTGATTGACCAACGAATTTTTTTGTGGTTCCATTTTTGTGCAGTTAAGAGGCCGAACAGTTTGGAAAAGATTATGCAAAAATTTATCTTTTTCGTAGAGAGATTATAGGAAACTGTGTTTTTTCGGAAAAAAAGGTCTGCGTTTTTGGAATTGTTATAGGTGAACCTTGAAATAGATTGATTTGTTGATTGATTTGTTCAATTTTTTATTCAAAATAATGAAAAAGTATGATTTTTTGAAAGTCCAGGACAATTTACTTACTTCGAAAGTTGAAGAATTGACAAGACTGTACCCTGTTCATTTTTAGTTTGATTGGCACTAAGTGTACAACGAAAAAACAAGATTTAACCATTTCAACGGCTATTTGTTAAGAGTTTTTAGACCAAAAGATCGTGTTTATTAGGGAAAGGCAAGCACTTGCCGTGGCCTTTTAGAAAGAGAACAAATCCATCTTATAGAATCGACTACGCTGCTTCCGAATCTGCTTTCAGTTTTTGCCCTCGAGGCCAGGAGTTTTTAGACCAAAAAATAGAGTTTACTAGAGAAAGGCAAGCACTTGCCGTGGCCTTTTATTAGGGTGGTGCAAAAGAAACTGCCGATTTGACGGTAAATTCAAAACAAAAGATGGCGTTCGATGGTGACATGATCACAATGGAATATTTTCGCAAGATCTCGAGCAGATTGGCATGGATCAGCCTGAATAACGTCCCTCAGCTTGGCTTCGTTCACGACTTCTGGCCTCGAACCGTGCTCGTAATCTTCCAAAGCCTCGTCTCCCTCTCGGAATCGTTGAAACCAAGTCTGACACTGCCTGAGAGACAAACTGCCATCTCCGGAAGCAGCACAGAGAGAACGATGCGATTCGGCAGCAGACTTTGAAGTTAAACAGTAATGCTGCTCGTAGCAAAAACTTTTGCTCGACCATGATCTGAATAAAAAATATAAGCATTTTTAAATAAAATAAACAACAACCAGAAAATTCAAATGTCGAAATAAATAGCAAACAAATATGCGAACAAAACATAAAAAAAAATAATGCCGTTAGCATCGCTCGTTTCTGATAAATGAGAGCTGATACCCATCGATAGTTTCTTTTGCACCACCCTAATAGATTGTTGATTTGTTCAATTTTTTTATTCAAAATAATGAAAAAGTATGATTTTTTTGAAAGTTCAGGACAATTTACTTACTTAGAAAGTTGAAGAATTGACAAGACTGTATTCATTTTTGGTTTGTTTGGCACTAAGTCTACAACGAAAAGGCAAGATTTAACCATTTCAACGGCTATTTTTTAAGAGTTTTTAGACCAAAAGATAGAGTTTACTAGGGAAAGGCAAGCACTTGCCGTGGCCTTTTAGAAAGAGAACAAATCCATCTTATAGAATCGACTACGCTGCTTCCGAATCTGCTTTCAGTTTTTGCCCTCGAGGCCTGTAACGCAATATATTTGGCTTGCAAGTTTTGGTTGCATTTTTGATCTTTATTTGAGGCCTCCACGTCATCCCTCCATCAGGACAAAAAAATCTGTGCCGAGAGCACTTTGCCCTCGGCCACGCAGCCACATTTTAAGGGATGACGTGGAAGCCTCAAATAGAGATCAAAAGTGAAAACCAAAACTTGTAAGCTAGATATCTTGCGTTACAAGCCTCGAGGGCAAAAACTAAAATTAGAATCGAACACAGCGTGACCAATTCGATGAGATGAGTTGTCTCGTTTTCAAAAGGGCTTGCCAAGCGTTTGCCTCTCTAGTAAGTGTTTTGTGCATATCTTTTCCTTGCCCAGATCGATCCAAAAGCATCAACGCCTTGTCCGTTCCAATCAAGAGATCCACTTCCCATAAAGCTGCACAAAGGGTCTCTCCGGAGAATTTCTTCCATCTTATAGAATCGACGGCGCTGATTCCGAATCTGTTTTCAGTTTTTGCCCTCGAGGCCTGTAACGCAAGATATCTGGCTCAAGTTTTGGTTGCATTTTTGATCTTTATTTGAGGCCACGAAATGTGGCTGTGTGGGGATAGTGCTCTTGATTGCTAGGAAATTGTTTGCTTGTTTGATTTTGATTGGTTTGATTCCCCTCATGTCAAACTTTTATTGCTTTTCCTTTTTATATTAATAAAATCATTCTTGATCTTTGAATCTTTGAGTCTTTCTTTTTCTTTGAGTTCGAAAATCTTTGAGTTGAGGCCATTTCTTGGGTTGAGCAGTTTGATTGTCAATAAAAAGATATTGTTTTTGCTCTGGTTCTATTCTCCTCATGTCAAACTTTTATTGCTTTCCATTTTTGATAATTAAAAACAACATTTTATGGAGCAGCCAAGCTTCTAAACTTCTTAAAACAACTAAAATAGTCAAATCTATAAGTTTTTGGAATTTTAAAAAAATGTTTATTATAGAAATGCTTCAAATAATGGAATGCAATAAAAAGTTGTTTTTAATTATGAAAAAGGAGAAGCAATATAAGTTTGACATGAGAAGAATAGAACCAGAGCAAAAAAACAATATCTTTTTATTGATATTCAAACTGCCCAACCCAAGAAATGGCCTCAACTCAAAGATCGAAATCGGATGCATAAAGCTTGCCATTGCAAAGGTGTAAACAACTATTAGTTTTCAATTCTCAACTGATTATTTGCACTCCTGAACCAGCAAAAGTTATCTACATCTTTGGAATCAACAGAACGAACCCTATACCCGGTCAGAGATTGAGTCATTCTCAAGTAGAATAGCATTCGTCAATTCTGCAATTTTCTCAGAGTTAATCTTTCCAATTGTGCTCTTTTTGATCTAATTAGAAAGGCTGAACTGTTTTCCTCTGTAAAGTAAATGAAAATATTGTTTCTAGACTTATAAATATTTAAAGCTAGCCTTCTTCTTTAAAAATCCTCTAAACTCGACAAGAGTCAAGCATCAGTGCTAACAAAAACCCATTTAGAAAGTTCTTTCCATGAAATTTCAATAAACTCACTCTTGTTTAGACTGTTTAGACTGTTAGAATTACTAAGTGAAGACAATTTTTCTATTAAGTAAAGAAAGACCCACCATTAGCCTGTTTTACCTCCCAACCGCTGTGATGTTAATTAAAGACAATTTTTCTCAAAATGAGATGATTCCAAGGAGCATTTAGACCAAGAAGACTTTTAGACATTTAGAAAAACTTTATGAATTTAAAAATTTGTAGTTTTTGATTATTTGATAGCTTTTGCTTCTGCTTTGCATCTTCCAAATTCTGTTTAGAATTTATTGTACACAAAGAAGAACCGTAAAAAGTGAAAATATTAAAAAAAAATGCGTAAAGAATTCAGAACAAGAAAAAGTAATTGCATTTAAAAGATCAATTGTCAAAAACCGTTCAAAACATTCAACTCATTTGAAAGAGTCTTACAAATTTGTTTTCATCGTCGAAAAAAAATATGAAACATTTGTCAAAAGCTTAGCTTTCTAAACTGTACAAACATTGATTATATCGATTTCTCGAGTGTATTATAATTTGTGAAATGATTCAGAGCTGATACTGCTA